CTCCCAGAATGCACTGGTGGCCAAATACAAAACAGCATAAAAATTTGTTTCGTTTGATGAAACTAATGAAAACATTTTTAGTTTCCGTTCATTTTGTCTGAAACCAATTTTCGGTCTTTGCTCATGTGTGTATGTGGTTATTTATTTTTTACTGTTGGGGCGGCTTCAGAGAAACATCAGGGGTCTAACAAGACCCCTGACACTTCACCTTTTCAAATAGTAACAGAGTCCTCAATCTCTTTTTCTGCAGACTCTGTTCTAAATGAATGGAAAGCTCTCAGTAAAGAGGCTTCTCATTTATTCAGAAACTGGTGATAGTAAAATATTTACTATCATCCGGTTATCAATGGGTAGAAGCCTCTTTAGTGAGTGATTTCACCCATTGAGAAACTCATGATTGAACAGGAATTGATGTAAAGCACTTCCTGTTCATTGATAACAGGGGACACATAATACTATGTGTCCCCAGTTGTTTACAAACACTGCAGTGATCAGCAGTAGTGTTTGCTCTGCACAAAGAGCATCGGTAAATATCACAGATATTATTGACTGATCCTCCGCTCTGCCATCCTGAGCGCTGAAACCAGGAGGGGGGCCGAGGCGGGGGTGCTGGTGGGGGTGAGCAGCAGGGATCCGAGGAGAAGCTGGAGCCCTCTTTTCCCTGCCGAGCCGCAGCTGTGTTGGCCGCCTGCCGCTTCAGTTGCCATAGCGCCCTATGCTTGCCATGGCAACAGGGGCAAGGGGGCGCAGCCTGGCCGGCCCTATCCGCGTCCCCTCTCAGCTGCACCTGAGGCGAGTGCCTCATTCGCCCCATGGTAGCTACAGCCCTGCATGGTCCATTGTTGTCACCATCAATAAACCTGTCTGAGAAATACCATGCACACTTTGCTAAAGTGAGTTCATGTATGTAAACAAAAAGTGGGTGCAAAAATGCTGGAGGAGAGCAGCATCACTGAGATGCAACAAAAGATGAGAAAAAAAAGATAAAAAGTATTTTATTTAAAAAAAATGGCAGATGTCGATTGTATGATAAACAGTGCTTTAGCAAACTAAACGTCACTCAGAGTTTAAGAAACACTAAAACCCAACACAATTATCATTAAGAGAACAATGGCCTGTGTAAACTAAAACTCCATGACATCTCTTGCAACCAAGTGTGAGAGTTAGCTTTAATTGGAGAGCTTGTAACGAGCCAGTCCACATGCCAGGGCTTCCTGCAAGTTTATTTAACATGCACAGCAGCAAAAACACACAGCGGTTTTCCTCATAGGGGTTTGTTCCAGCTTCATACAGCAACAAAATCACATTCAGTCTACTGGCTTTGACAAAAGTTTCTCACCCCTCCCTGGTATTACATGCAACTGAGCCAAAGCCTGTTTAGGTCAGCAGATCTATACACATACAACCTCTTTGTGTCCCATTCATGTACTCCTCTAGTCCATCTTATGATGCAAAATCAGCGCCAGGGGTTGACACTGCAATGCTGGCCTAGGTACAACAGCCCTGGCCTGCACAGCAAGCAGCACTGGTTCCTGGCCGGAGCATGACTGACTACAGTCTCTCTCCTTTGTGCAGCAAACCCAATTCATCTAAAAGTGACATTAAAGTCAAACTTTTTTGCCCCCTTCCCAATCCTGCTGTAGGGACTTACCTTAAATGATGTCTCTTAATACGATCTTCTTCTTTCCTGTAGTTTTTAGCTGTCCCTCCAGTGTTGGGTGCGAGTCTCCGATCCAGCACTGACTCCTCTGTCCTTCTCTTCGTTCATGTCCCACGTAGTCTGTGCAGGTGCACGCGGCTCCTTAGACTTACCTTTCTCCTCGTTTCCCAGCTGAATATCTGAACTGTGCATGCGCCCGCCCCAAGATCCTTTGCGGCCGCCCGAGAAATGTTCAGATGTTCGGATAGGAGCGCGAGGTGGAGACACAGGTAAGTATTAACCCTTTCAAAAAGTTTTTATTTTAACTTTTCGTTTTGCATATATCTACTGCTCGCTAGCAGTAGATATATGCAAAAACATGCGAGGGTTTAATAACCCTTTAACTGGAATGATCTTCTGAGCTATCGACTTAGACACCCTACACTGACAAAACCATCTCTCAACCTGCCACTTAACGCAACCCATTATAAATTTGAAAGAAGGGCCAGCAATACCTTATGCCAGTCTTCCAAATTTGTAAACTGTTCTTATATGCTTTTTTTGTAGCCTTTGTCTTTCAAATAAACATTGCATGACAGTTGAGTTTCAGAACACTATGGGGTAGCTAGAAAAACAGCAAAGTAGACACTACCTGCTTGGACTGAAACTTCTGACTGAGCTGTCTAGCAAGGCATACGCCAATAGCGTGAGTTATTGAGGTCTGTAAACAACAAGCCTTTCACAACAAATGAGCATATTTGCCCAGCTTTAAAATGGAAAGATATTTTAACAATGTTATATGTTAGTCCTGACCACATGAAATAAAACAAATAAGAAATAAAAATAATTACTAAAGAAGTAACACATAGTAGAGCTTTGACGGACTTTCATCAGGATGAGTATTTAAAGTGACACTAAACTCGGGAATTAAATCTTAAATATGCATTCAAGTGCCCTATCTATTAACAATACTGGACCTTATTTGTGTATCACTCTGCAATAGATCTTCAAATCATCTCTGAAGTGGTGCTGACACTGTAATTACTTCTGGAAGGTGGCTACTTTCCTTGTGGTCCCCGTGTGTGTTGCATAGTAGCCACCACTCCAAGCTTGCTCCCCTGATAGACTATTACTTCAGTACAAATTTGTAAACTAAACATGAGATTGTAGTCCATCATGAGATTGTAGTCCATCAAGCGAACTTGGAGCGGTGGCTACTTTACAACACACACAGGGACCATAGGGAACAAAAGTAGCCACCCTCCAGAAGATAGGACAGTGTCAGTGATACACAAATAAGATACATTTTTGTTAATAGTTAAGGTACTTGAATGCATTTTTAAGATTTAACTGTTTGGGTCCACATTAGAGAGACTGATTCTCTGTATTTGTCCTGGTGACTTTTACCACCAAGAGTGAAAGTTAGGAAAGGTTAGGAAAATCCCACATTTTGAGTTTTTGCCGGAACAGGGGAGATCTTCCAATGGGGAAACTAGTTCTGGTGACCCTAGTGACAACTAGGGATTTCCCTCACCTTGGTGGGATTTCCTCTCAATTTCTGTTGCAGCTATGGGACAGGAACTGAAGGGAAATCTCCCCAATGGTACACAGATGGCAAAAAAAAAGAAACCCCGACTGGGGTCATAACCCTCCCTTACTCCATCCAAAATGAAGCAAAATGTTTAAGCTTTAGTTCCATTTTAAATCCCCACCTGTTCTATTATTCTTTCTTATTAAAGCAGTATTGATTGTTGTGCTTGTTGTTATGTTTTTAAAATTTTTTACGTTTTCTAACGTTTTACACTTTATTTCACTTACTGAGTTGCACAAACAATTCCAAAACACTATGTGTATTGCCATTTTACACAGAGGCACAGTACTTCATGGATGGTGTAGGTGGCCAATAAAGTCTAAAAAAAAAGTCTATTATTAAAATCAGTAAACAGCATTTCTGTAGAGCCACCGAAAGGTCTACACAGAAGCAGTATCATTCAGTATTTTAGCAAGTAATATATGATTACAGTGGCATTGACCATCTTCTAAGCAAGCAATAAATGACTCACCAGAGGTTGACCAGAAACGGATGCTCCAAGCCTTGCATGATCTGCAGTTCTTTAAACACATTTCTCACTTCATTGCGCTCCACACATTTCTGCTTGTTCATGTACTTCATGGCATACATTTTCTTGGTATCATTTTTCTGAACAATGCACACCTGGAAATGAAAAGAAAGCTTACTAGAAGCCCTGAATTTAATGTACACACTGATACAGGCTTGTGCAAAGAGCAATGATGAGGTGCAATAACTCATAGCAAATATTCAGATTTCAGTCCAACTCCATCCAAAATGTTTTGGATAAGAACCTCTGTTAGGTTTTATTGCTAAAAGAATAGGGAAACGAGCACCAATACAAGATATTTTTTTTAGTTGATCTTATTTGTCATTGCATTACACAAAGCAGATCAGACTGTTTCGGGGGTTTCAAAGGGCCCCTTTCATCAGACCATTGGAATGCAAAGGGGCTGAGATCTGGATGGTCAGCAATTATGTACTTGCAAAGGGATTTATATTATTTACTGATCACGTCTGCTTTCAAAGAACAGTTTTTCAGGTTTTATTGTTTGCGTCCCCTACTGGGTAGATTTCCCTAATAGCATAACCATTTCTATCTGTAGGTGATGGACATACTATTAAGGAAGTCTCCCCAGTAGAAGATGTGGTAGACACCTAACTCCAGGGTGAGAGATTGGGCACCATATTGCTGGTCCTGCTTTTTTTGTGAGCCCTGCTCCAGGTATACCCTTTGCCTTCTGCCCTGCATCTGTTGCTGCTAGTATTCTGCAGCATTCTCTTCTGCGGCCAGTCAGTGGTACCCAGAAAGGTAAGAAGAGCTGCACTGTGCAGTAAGGAATGCAGGCAGGCTTTTGACTATCTGCAAGCTGTTTTTTTTACTTTTCTGACAGCTGCTGCCGTCAGAATAAAAAAAAAAAATCAGCATTGGAATGCATAGCTAGATTCCTATTGGCTATTTCAATTTGCAATATCCAATATCAAGCACCCGCCCTCTGCTTCTGTCAATCACTATAAGAGGACCTGATGGAGAATTTCAGGTCCCCTCTGCTGATTGACAGCAGCAGTGGGCGGGTGCAATAGCTAGTTTGCTATTGGCTATTGCAAAGTGAAATAGCCAATAGGAATGTAGATATGCATTCCTATGCTGTTTTTTCTCTCCCAGGCGGCCGGGAGCCACTATCTAATAGCGGGAGACTCCCGGAGCATCCGGGAGAGTAATGACAGATCAGCGTCCCTGGTTACCTGGTAACCAGGGTACGCTGATTTGTCTCTGCAAGTGGCCGGAGCCAGCCGTGACATGATGGCTGGCTCTGCCCAGCTGTCAGTAGGAGGCTGTCGGCCTATAGTGAATAGCCCATACAGCAGCTCTTCGGTTCTACTGAACAGAAGGGGTCCTGGGGCCGAATCTAACCGTAGGTTCAACCGAAGCTACGGCTAGATCCTTCGGCTGCTTCGTGAATAGACCCCTAAATGTTGCCCAGCTAAGCCAATCCCCAGAATGGTTCGAAACTATGTTTACCGGAAACGAGAGTATATTTTCTGGCATAGCAATGCAGGCACAAACAGACAATAATGGAGCAAAGGCAAGACTTTTCATTACAGTTCAAGATTTTACATGAGCATATTTTTTATTATGTATATACCTCCCAACTTTCTGAGATGAGAAAGAGGGACAGCTTTCAGTACAAACTTAGTAAGAAAAGGATTTACCCCTGCCACGCTACTGATTCCACAGTCTATGAAGAATTAATATGTAAAAAATGCTTAGTTAAACCCACAAGGTAAACCCACAAATGCTTTTTCACAATTACTTTTCCTTAATTTAGATAATTTAGATGTTGGGTAAAAGGTCAAGTGTAGAATAACATTTTTGATAGTTCAATAGAACATTTTTTTTATAGAGATCTAAATATCAGAACAAAAATAGGGACACCTGAGTTAGATCAATGAAATTAAAAAGCACTCACCTTTCCAAAGCTTCCTTTCCCAATGGCGCGGAGAATTTCAAAGTGATTAAAATTCACTGTGAGATAAAAACATATTTTATTATTGTTGATGGACATGGGTTTCTATAACAAAGGATTAAAATAATATACACTAAAACACTATGAACTACCAACATTGTTCATGTGTAATTTGGGACAGTATATAAAAATCACATACAGGGGCCCCTGGATTAATGGAAGCTTTGGATAAAACTGTCTTAAAATAAGACAAATGTGATCCCCATGCTGGATAAGTTATTCACTATGCAAACTGCATCAGCAGGGAGAGGTGTCATATGGGTATGGATAATGAGTAGGTCCACAGTTGCCTGTGCTGCATGAGTCTAATCTGCAGAAAGGTGTAGTAGGTGAATGCCATCTACACCAATGACACAGGAATGACAAAGACTGAGCCAGTTCTATCTTTTAAAGAAATAACAGGCATTCAGTACAGGTACTCCAAACAGTACAATAAGTATGCTGTGTGCACAATGGTTTCCTGTGTATGGCAGGTTTCAAAAATTACAAGGTGTAAGTTGTAAGTAGAGCCAAAACTAACCTCATGGAACATAGCAACATCATTTACAGTATTTTCAATGGGGGAGAAAATTGTTTAAAGGGTAATTCCAATTTCCCAGGTGAATTTGGGAAAATAGAAAACCCCCCTCCAATCTGGCCCCCTCTTCCCTGCACTCTCTATTTTGCAGCCCTGCACTCTCTATTTTGGCTTCCACTCGCAAATGGCGAGCACTCATTGGTCAGCAGGGTCATCTGACTGCACTGACCAATGAAAAGCGCTTCTTAGCAAGAAGTGCTTCTCATTGGTCAAACACAGTAACCAGCCAAATCCATTGTTTCATTGTAAATTTTAAAGCTGAACACCAGACACAAAAACCTTTATCTAAATGTATTCCTTAGCTGCAAAGGATAGAAATCCACCTTGTGTGCACCAAATGTCTTTGCCTTGCCTTGTAAAATTAGTGGTGACATCATCACTGGCTGCTTATGGCATGTGTAGACTGCAGATCTGTGAGAAAGACTCAACAGGTCTCACCCACTACAGATTGCATGCATGGAACTAGTTGAGGGGGCAGAGACTAGACCAGTAAGGAGAGCAGCAGTGACCAGTCTTTTTTAGAAGCTCCTGCACAGAGGAAAACGTCCATGCTGGATTACTGCACACATCTGGAAGAAATATGCAAGAAGTAAGTTAGGCTACACATGCCCTCTTGAATTTAGACAATATATGTTTATCCTGGAGTTAAGCTTTAACTGGAAATATGACCAGGCAAACATATCAGGTTGCTATAGGAAACTCAAGTACTTTTCATTCATTCTTTCTAATAAACGGCTAGGTGACTGCAGATGAAGTCTTCTTCTTTTAACAAATCATCACTAATGAATATGACCCCAACAATGTTAAACACTACTATGACAGTTCTAGATATTCCACAGCTAATTTTCCACAGCCACTGGTTACTTCCAATCAATTACACAGAAGAAGGCAGAAACAGCATGCAAGCTGAATTCAATCCAAATGCCAGGCACAGATTCAACACCGTATATCAAGGATGGCAGCGACAGATTGAATGTGACAGCAAGTTGGATGTTCTCATCACTTTGTATTATGAGTATGCATAATTCTATTTCCTATTAAAGGAGAACTATGAGGGGAGTGAAAAATCACTCAACCTCATAGTGCGAGCCGACATGTGACAATGAAACTGTCACACATCGGCTCAATAGATTGGGAAGTGAGCGAACACACACCGTTGCTCGCTCACTTCTCGATCCTGTCCCTGAGTAAAGCCTTGACTGTCACTCATGGCTCCCTGCAGGTATCCCCCCCCCGCGCTCCGATCCTCCAGGAACGAACGGGGGAGGGGGCGGGTACAGCTGGCTCTGCATCTAGATAGGCAGAGCCAGCTGTCAATCACGCAGCTGGGTGGATCTCAACAGCATTGTCGGGATCTGTCCCGACTGCGGCGGTCTCAGTATACCGCGATCTGTAGCTCGCCATATACTGAGCTTTGGGTCACGGGAGGACGCTGGTTTATGTCCTCCCGTGACCCTGAGGAGAACTATGGGGAAAAACACTGACCCCATCGTTCTCCTTTAACTTCTATAAAAACACTAGTGTTTCCTCCTTCTGGTTAAGCTTATAAACAGCAATAACACCTTAAAAGAAAGATATAGTGCTAAGATTTTCAGAAATCCCAACATGGATTAGGCTTCTTGTGTTGGATTTTGACTGCATTGCCTATACTGCTAACAGACATATCAGCTGCGGATTTTAAGATCATAGTGCCATAGATGCATGAGAATGATTATGCATTTTTGTATTGGCACTGTCTATGTGTCATCATTCCTGTTTCTTGGCTAGGATAGGGACCATTAAATTAGGAAAATGCACTACTTTAGCCATTAAATAAATAATTAAAACAGGAAAAAACTGGACCAACTCTGGAAGGGTCAATTTTGTCCTATAACTATTTTACTATTTGTTTCTGGTTATAACCTAGACAAGGAACAAGGAAGAGTGGATTTAGGCAGGTAGAAAAGGGATTTCTGGAGGTTTTATTTTAAAGGAAAAAAAGGAGAATGGGTAGAGGGTGTGGAAGAGGGTTTAAGCCTACTCATAGATGGGATTTAATAAACCTGCAAGGTCAGCCAAGCTAATTTATAAATATTAATGCAAAGGGGGGGGGGGCAGTAATGGCGTAGAGCAAGTGCAAAAGGTCAATTCTGGCCATAGTATTCTGAGGTGTGCTGTTTTTAATAAAGGACCGAAAGCTGAAACCAAATTAATCCGCAGAGCTACACACTGAAGAAAAAAACTGAATATGACCTTTCACATAATAGAACATCGTCATAAAAACTGCATTACCTTATGGTACCTCACTACAAACACAAATCATTTTTACACTTTCACAGTGCGTACAGGATATTAACTAGAGCACAGCTAATGATGAGGTGTCATCACTGTAAAGGAGAATGTATAAACAATGTGGTTCTGGTTCTGCGGCAATGCTGTTTTGCAGAGGCATTGGAGAGCAACGATGCAGGCTGCAGTGGGTCATGTTTTAAGATCAATGGTGTACTGAGAGATATTAGTCTCAGATGGTCAAGGGCAAATTAGATATGACAACTCGTTGCCTGCCTTCATGCTGAAACACTGAAGCATGAAGGATATTTTATTAAAGTCTCTAGGGTGGAAATCTATGGCAGAGGAGCTGCCAAAGCTGCCCTATAATATGTTTTTTCATCGAAATGTATGCATCTTTGTGATTTCATAAGTTTGGTCCCTTATCTTGACATTCATTAATGATTTTTGTGTGGCTTTGAAAAATGATCTTGCAGATAAAACAAATGAAAGTGAGAGGAAAAAGTCTATTGTCCAATATTATCCTGGTGTATTTCTTTTAGACACGCTGTAATTTATCCCATTCTTGAAAGTTTATGTTACAATTTAACCCTTCGTATGGTGCACCATCAATGTATGCCATCACTGCTTACCCTTTCTTTTCTCTGTCCTGTGTCTTTCCAATCACAGTGTAATATTCCTCTGTCCTATTTAACTTCTTCCTTGCTGTTCCACTACCTTCTTGTTCTATGCTTCCTTCTCTCTGTCCTTCTTCCTTATTGTTTTGTCCCTTCTACTTTGTGCCCCTCTGCCATCTTAATCTGTACTTACATTTAACCATCCTACTCCCCATTTGTTTTATACCTCTATGTTTGATTATTGTAGTAATAAACTTTCAAACTATTTTTAAATAATTAATCCAGATTAAACATATATACATGTCCTCGTGGCCGAACTTGCTGGTCCGTGCCACGATGGGGACGACGGCGAAGACACTCCTCTCCCCGAGCTTCACTCGCCCCACATCTCCCTTGACATCGGTGGTGGGGAACCCTCACTTCCCACTGGGAGAGCATGGCCCGCTAGCCAGAGCCCTGACGTCCGCAGGTAGCACCAGGGTGTGTCACTTCCAGGAGGCGGGTCAGTGGAAACAAGTAGCCCAGATTCAGGCCACCACAACTCCCCCAATGCGATTGTGGTGCGCACTATAGTTGAGGCACTTTTTATGCTCTTTTTCAGAGGTTCCGGGCCCTAGACGGCCGCTGACTGAATTTGAGACACTATGCCTGCAGGCTGGGCTGATTAGACACTCCCTGTCAGGATCCTGAGCACCCCCAGGTGGTGCTGAAGCCAGGTCCTGCAGTTCCTGTGCTCGCCTGCGGGTGTGCCCCAGCTGTGACTGATCATCCCATCACCTGGTGCTTCCTGGGAGGGTATTTAGGCCCTCCCTGCAGTCAGGAAGCTGGCTCAGTATTGCGTCGCCTGCACTTGACTGATTCCCATAAACCTGAACCTTGCTTCCTGAACCCTGCTTCCTAAGACCCTGCTTACTATCTGCAGACCTGTCACCGACCCGGCTTGTTACCCGACCACTATCTTGGATCCTGTTCCTGTACCGTGCTGCTGCCCTCCTGTTAACGACCCGGCTTGTACCTGAACACTCTTCTTTTATCCTGAAGCCTGCCATATATCTGCAGGCCTGTTACCCCTCCTTGTTGATTCCCCCTGGCTGTAGGTGTGTGTTTGTCCCAACGGTGGGTTTATTACTTCACTGCTAAACCTGTGGGGGGTTGAGGGGGTTTGTAGTTTTGTTGTTGTGTAGCAAATAAACTGTGTGCATAGAACCCTATCCTGTGTGGGCATATTAATTTGGTCATCCTGCGTGGGTACCTGCATGTGGTGTGAGGACGACTGTGCATGGTACCCTGACACTCCCTGGCATAATTGGTGAGCTGTCTGCGCAGCCCTCCTGACCAGACCCCCCCGTACTTTGTTAGACAATGGGCCTCTGATCTGGAACTAACCCTCAGTCCCGCACAGGTGGATAATATGCTATATTTCACCCTCAAATCCTCCATCTCTAACAAATACCAGGAAGCTGGGTATAAGCTGGGGGGGCGAGACCTCCATCCACGCTTTCTTTCCCAATCTTTCTACGTTTCCTTCTGCTCTCTT